GTATAAATACGTATTTATATTTGTGGACAAGCTGTTTAGATTGTCAAAAAGGCTGTGTTTTTAGGGTTATTAACAAAGTTTGTGTACTCAGACCAGTAATATTTGGGGTCACAAGTTTTTGCCATGGATATTTTGTGGGTCAGAAGATAAAAAGTTTGGGAACCACTGTTGTAGAGTGTTCCTCACATTTTAGGCCCCAGAGGTCTATACAAGAAAATAAATACTTCAGCAGAAATTACTTTTTCCTGAAGAAACTTATTTTGCCCTTATCAGTGAAACACATAGTCCTAACCTTACAGAAATGTAAAAATGGGGGATTTTCTTGTTTATAGTTGTAGACCATTTGTTTTCGTGAAATGTAAAAGATTAGTCAGGTTGCTCATTAACCAGGACTCTCCAGATCCCCAAGAGTGAGCTAAATATTGATTAGAAATGGATTAAGATGAATAAGACATGTTGTTTTTAACATCTGTAGAGGCTGATTGTGTGTTTAAATACTCACTTTTTCTCCTTAATCCATCTGATGACAGCCATGACCTCAGGTATTGTGCTCGGGTCCTCAGAGGTCCCATCAAACTGGTCTGGAAAGCTCCTGTTCAGATCCTTGAATTTGGAGTTCGCTCGACCCCCGTTCTCCCCTTCACAGTCCCCCTCCTTGGACCTCTCAAAGCCGTCTGGGTTCATGCTGGGCAGGATGTAGATGTCCGTGCTGTTCACCAGCTCCATAATGCGGGGGTCCACTCCATACTGGKTCAGCAAATACTCCACCAGGTAAATCAGCACCTGTCTGGACACGGTCTCGTCTCCATGCATGTTCCCGACGTATTTAAACTTGGGTCTCCCCGGTGAGTCCCTGTCGGGGTCCAGCGTGATCCGCATCACCCACAGCTCCCTGCCGTTAACGGACTGACCTATGCTCGACAGGTTCGCGATGTGAGGGTGACTCTGCGCCAAAGACCGGAGCCGTTCGGTCAGGTTCCCGTAATTGTAGTATTTGTCATAAGTTTCTGCTGTTTCCCCCTCCGAGGCACCGGCACTCCGGGCTGCTGGCCGCCGGCGATCGGCGACAGCCGGAGGAAGAAGAAGAAAGGAGAAAAGTAGCAGCAGCAGTTTCGACGTGGTTAGAAGAAGCTTCTGATGAACCATGTTGATTTAACATCTATGTCTGTACCAAAACTAAAATAATAATAATAGTAATAATATTCAACAGAAGCGGTTTTTTTTCTTTCTTTTCTTTTCTTTTTTTAAGAGGTGGCTGTCCAACAACAGATGTTTTGTTGCTGTCAGAACCACTCTGGCCTTCCTGTTTCCATCTACTTCCGTTCACCTCACTGGTAGAGCTTTAAGGTGACGTCACGATTTAAAGGGACATTTCGATCATTTTGATGTGGAGTAGAGCTGGTCATCTGACTCACCCAGGTCTGGTTATGCTTCAACAAGATGCTATGTTTGAGGAGGGGGCTCCTTTCAAAGTGGGGGTGTCAGAACATGCGAAATCGCTTATAACAGAAACTGTTTAACATAGGAGCTTCAGATTTATTTTCTTGTTTAGCTCTGATGAGGGGCTATCCATCAGGTTAACCAATGCCCCCCTCCCAAAAAAAGACCCCCACCCAAACCACTACAATTTTGCGATGCACCTAGTAGCATTATATTTATTAGGAATAAAGACTTCTGAGTTATGGCGCATTTGTGCATGCGGGGGTCATTATGTTATCGCTATACGATATCTAGCTTTCATCTCTAAAGACATCATTTCACTCCAAGCCTGTCTGAAAGTCTAAACAAAATGTCTACCAATCACATGTCCCTACAATGTTTATAGATAATGTGGTCACACTTCAGATACGATATCATACCCCTGAAGCAATGAAGTACCCTATACACATACATACATACATACATACATACATACATACATACATACATACATACATACATACATACATACATACATACANGCTGTCGCCTCCACGTCGCCCGGTTCGGCTGCTGTCGCCTCCACGTCGCCCGGTTCGGCTGCTGTCGCCTCCACGTCGCCCTTCGCCTCCTCATCGCCTGGGTCGTCGCCCTTCGCCTCCTCATCGCCTGGGTCGTCGCCCTTCGCCTCCTCATCGCCTGGGTCGTCGCCCTTCGCCTCCTCATCGCCTGGGTCGTCGCC